CTTCCATGTTAAACCATTTTTTGATAAACAAAAACTTTCACCAGGTAGTGTGATTTATAGTCAGAAATGAATAAACGTGATGTCACAAATATAAGACCTTCACCAGAAATTTATGCAAAAACAATAAATTCTTGATAAGCAGGTTTAGTTTTTGTAAGTAAGAATATAAGTTAAATGTACCTATCTTTTCCTTCCATTTTGAAAATATATAAATAAATAAAATTTGAGACCCGCCTTATACAGAAAAGCCCATTGTGGAATATTTTTAAAGTTATGCGATCTTGGTAACAAGAAAGGTATGTGTTAGTGGAATATATGTGGTATGCAACTTTATTTGAAAGCCAATAAACAACAGAACATGAAAAATTATATGTTATTTAACTTTTTTATATCTTATAACTGTAACTAGCATCCATTGATTATCTAATAACTAAAGAGCAGTCTGTTTCTTTAGACTTCTGCTGGAATGTTAGGCATACGTTTTGCAGGATCTATATTAAAATTCATGGTTGAAAGGATTTCGTATTTGCTTGCGATGCTTTACTTTCATATAATATATTTAAGGTCTATGAAAATCAGCATTTATATCTGAAATGCATTTTCTCTGAAACCTTATATAACACAGTACAAAGTCCGAAATCCGGACATCCATTATCCAGAATGATCTAGTTCGGACTTCAAAACCATCAACGTTTTCTCGTAGGCTTTATGCATGTGCATTTGATTTCTCCCTCAGCACATAATAAAACATCTGGAGAGTCCCGATTCTTAATTTCACTTCGAAATTAAATAAAATACCCTGTTATTAAAGAAACAATCATTTTAGTATAAATCTGTATGATGAGTAACTTGGCTTCGTTGCACACATCTCAAATCGAAACATTCCACATAGATACATCGTTGATCTGACGACAACCTGGCGAATCACTATTTATTATACTTTCCTTGAATCACTGCATTTTATCAAAACATACACTTAATTAGATCATGTAGCGATGCTAAATTATTTTTATTTATAGAATAATAAAGCAGTATGGTAACTTTTATGTTGACATTACGCTTGGCGATGATTAAGATAAGTTAAATGGCGTAAAAATGTTGACGAGGAATTTACTAAAATTCTTCCATATGGTAAAAATAATTGTGTTGATGATAGCATAGACCCAAAGCTTATATGAGGTTTGAATTAGAATAACTGATTGTTATTCCCTAAATGCAGAACCAGCGCCAGGGGGCTCGATGGCCGCCCAAGTTGCAGAATTAGTACCCACAGAGACTGCATCACGTGGTAATATCTAGCGCCGGCCCTCAATATTATGTATGTGAAATTTATTAAACTCATATTTATGCATGTGCAGAAAAAGACATAAGTATATAATTATTATACTCTATTTTTAAAAGTCCTAAAATACTTCAATTCTGTCTCATTGCAATAGAAATGATCAAAATGGAACAACTTGTCGTAGTCGCCAGCTCATGATGATAGTGAAGGATAGCTAAATGTGATGATAGCGCAATTTAAACTTCTATATCGCAAACAAAGTGAAATTTCCGTTAACGGATTTATAAAGAAATGTGGAGCGTGGTAATAATGAAGATGATATAAAAAGGTTTTTTCATTTGATGACAAGTTTCTCAATTATAACTCAGTTAAGAATGGCGAAATCTGCATTATCTTCTAATCTTGAAAACCGAAGTTACTGAAACTAGAATTTCAATGACAAGTTATTCGGAATTCTCGAACAGGAGTTAGGATTCAACAGTAACTCAACAAGAGATTATGTCTGTCTACAAAATAAAGAGAAAGTATGCACAAACCAAATCACTAAACACTTACATTGAAAGAAATGTTTAATAAGGTAAATAAATAAATATTAAACTTTTTTTTTGTAAATTCTGTAACCCTTTAGATCATAAATACTTAATTATTTCATAAATCACGATATCATATTTTTAATTTTATAATTTCTACATGCCATCTTGCTAGATTTACACTGATGATCTAATATCCGGAAAAATCCCAAATCCGGAATCGCCGAAATTCCGAAGAGTCCGGATTTCGGACTTTGTACTGTATTAAATGTACGCTGAGATAGCTAAGATGGTTGCTTTTGTAATTTTATACCAGAAATTTCTTCTTCCATTAACTTGGTTTTCTGCAAATGAGTTGCTATTTTTTATGTGCTCAACTACCTGTTATTTTCCCATATCTAGTATTGGCATTTCGCAAGCTTTTCAAATAATCATGTTTTCACTGTATAAATCCAAATAATAATAATAATAAATGCACACTTTCCCTAATAAGTACGGGATTCTAAAACTACTGAAATAAATTCATATCATCTTTGTTTAAACTCATGGAATTTAAGAATATACTTAAAAATTTCAAACATAAAAAAATTGGAACTGTACCAAAATTATACATACTAAGATAACTTTAATTGAATGGGGGAAAAAATATTCCCTATCAAAAATTTCAGTACACACACACAAGGGGGGGGGTGACAGAGATTTGTTGGAATTTTAGCTTGTTTATTGGCATTGAAGTATACAAATAAACTGCTTTCCTATCCATTTTTCACACAGAAAATGAAACCTGTTTCAGAAGACACATAAAGCAATTATGAGGTCTACAGTAATGCAAAATAATAACAATTATAATAATAAAGAAGAGATACTCAATGCTTAAATAAGAAAATTAATAGAAAACCATTGGTGACACTGCTCCAGATGAAAATTAATATTAACAAACAGCTTTACAGGAACCTGAAATAAAAGCCTTGATAAAAAAAGGGGGGCAATAAGCAAAAGCTCGTTTTCACATTCATTTTGACAAAGTAGGTTGACTGCAGTGCTACTGATATTTCAAAGAAGTCAGTTGATCAGTTTGAGTTGGAATAAAATGATGCCATGTCATGACTTCCCTTGCAAATGCAAAGTCACTTGACCAACCACCCATAACAATGCTGTGAAAATTAAGAAAAATGCCAAATAGCTTGCAATAATTTTAGTTTTAAAACAGCAGGGAGGCCAGCTTCACAACCTGTGGAAATTTCAAACACAATGAGACTAGATTTTTCAATGCAGAAATTTAAACTATTAACATTTAAAAATAATTATTACATTCACATATTCATAATGGTGTGCAGGAAAATAAGAGATAATGTATAACTGTTTTCTCTACAATCAAATTGTAATGTTGTATATTAAAAAATGAGTAATAGCCCCACTTGGGTGGAACTAAATAGGTATGATGTTTCTTGTCTTCCTTAACCCTTTCAAGACGGGCGTCCCATATACGCATTCCCTAAGAATGTCTCTTACAGTAGGGTGTCCCATCTATGCATCACTAGAGATTGCATTCAGAAGACAGGGGTTGCGTATACGCATTTTAAGCTAGAACATTTTTCTGAAGGCCACTAGATGGCATCCTATGTCCCTTACTTTTGAATGAACCCGTTTAGTTCCTGACATTGAGTTTGATATATATGCCTGACTTGTATTTTACTTCCTGTTGCGGGGGGGGAGGGAAAGGTAAAAGAGGGGGCTTAACCCTATGTGCAATGAAAATTCTCGTCTGATTGATAGCAATCCTTTTATTAGTTTTTCCTCTACAGTGTACGGTCTTTTGGTACTGTGGGAGTCCTTTACGTTTGCATTGCCTCAAATTATCCTATCTTTTTATTAGAAAAGCCTCACTCCAGTAGGTGGGAAGGTGCTATTTATCAGAGAAGAATACGCTCATATGTGTGAACATTTACTAACCAAATGGGATGGATTCATTTCTAAAGAGTTAGAAAGCGATATTCTCATGCTGCGGATTACCCCACTCATCTCATTTTACTTTGTTACTTCTCCGTAATAGCTTATTGTGTTTTTATTAATTTAACGGAGGATGGCTTTATCATTAAAATTGGAATAATTTGAATAGCGCTTCGAAAATTTTCCAGATAGCAATTTAAAGTAATTTCATGTAAAAAAAGAAAAAAAATATAAGTCTAGTTTCAACATATTAGAGCTCAGTAATAATCAAAGATGCTAAAAATTACGATGCTAGAAAAGAAACTTTTTTTTCTGATTTTTTTTTATAAAATTAGGCTTAGCGATGCAAAACCTCCAACCTGTATGGTGACTGCTTTCAATTCCCTTCTGTCCCGCAAAAGCGTCTTAAACAAAGGCGCGCCATCGCGAAAAGGTTAAATAGTATTTTCAAGAAAATTTGCCAATTTCTATCAAAATCAAGATTAAAATGATGCCACAAACTGATGAAGTCACATTAAATTTGAAAGTTGATAGTAATGATGTCAGTGAGCTGCTGGACTCAAAAAGAAAAAAATTAATAATTAATAAAATTATAAAAATGTATTATCAAATTGCTGTGTAAGAAAACAACGAATTAGGCACAAATCCATCAGAAAAGCATATGACTTGTCAAGCAAGCTTGACAGTACTCAGTCATCAGACAAATTTTCAGGAGACATTGGCATCAAACTAACTCCATTTTATGTAGCATATTTAATATGCTACATAAAATATGTATGTATAAACACTAAATTTTTATTATATACTTTTTATAAATGTTTTTTAATATCATTGTCCTATTTAACTAAAATTCATATGCATTTATATGCAAAGTTAAAGCCTAACTTGTACGCTTTTTATTGATCCCCACGTTAATGCAATTTCAGGTTATATAATATCAAAATTAGTGTAGTAATTTCTTTTAATCATTCTTGTTTCATAAAAGGGGTAATGAATTGATTTTATAATATGAAAAATTTTCAAAATGGCACCAGACTTCGGTTTTGTGAAGTAAAATCAATACATATGTAATTGTTGAAATAGGTTAACTGATTTTGGACCTTTCAGCACATGCATTATGAACTGCATACACAAAAACATACACTTTTTTTTAACTGTCATAAAAAATCACATTTACATTTTAGATTATAATGATTATTATTTTTTAAATATTTAAAAGAGTCACATTAGAAACATTCTAAAATTTCCTCTTATGTTAGGGGCGAGGACTTTATTTATTATCAGACAAAAAGCACAAAAAGCATTCAAACTAATATATACTTAAAAATAAGCTAATAATAACTGATCACCAATGAAAAGAAATCCTATTAGAACTATTCTATGTAGAAGTTTCAAAAAGGCTTAAATGATCATCATGAAAAGCCTAGTATTGCCCCCATATATTTAAACATTCCAATTAAATGCAGCAAAATTCATTTCATTCAGTTTTCTTCTTTGATAGAAAATAATTCGGTGGCAATATAATAACTATAAAGACCTCACCTCATTTTCAAATCAGCAATTTACTGCTATTTTTAAATAGGAACAGTAGATTAGGAAATAATTTTTACATTTTTGAATAGGCATGCAATAATATAAATTAATTCTGACATTCAAGCACATTGATTAGTATTTTGAGACATCATAAAAATGGATTTCACAGAATATATATTACAATGTTTAGAAAAAGGTTTAAAAGTCTGCACATTCATATTACAAACAAATAAAACAAAATTCTGTTCCACAACTACTACATTTAAACACAAAGAGTGTAATTAGAGTCTTTCACCATCATGATTCAATAAAACATGACGTCGTAAACTACTTTTAGCTGAAAATGCTCTCTGACACAGTAAACATTGGAAAGGTCGAGCTCCAGTGTGTTTAACTTCATGGTAAAGCATATGTTGCCTATTTTTTGTACAATATGAACAAAATTTACAACAGAAATGACGCTTTTGTTGATTTGGACTTTCATTATCTTGTTCTGTAATTATATAAAACATTGGATATTCTTGCCTAAGAACAACAGCTAAAGAAAGAGGGAAAATGAGAATTAGAAATCAATGGTAATTTAGGAACAAAATGTAATTTAAAAAATCTAAGAGAAGCTTAGAATAGCACATTAGCAGTTTCAACATTAATAAAAATTTTCAATAATTTATTTAAATGATTTTTAGATTTCATTCAGTAATTAAAAATTTTAAAAAACCATCATTTTAACATAAAAAATATGGCCATTTTATGTTCAATTTGGAAAGGGGGACAAGTGAATACACAGAAAACTAGAAAATATATAAATAAAAATTAAAATTTCTTAGATTAAAACTTAAATTATAAAAAAGGAACTATAATTTTCAACAGAAATATAACACTCATAAATGAATATATGTTTTTATAAATTTAACATTTTATAATTTGAATTTTACAAAAAACAAACAATTATACATAAAAAAAACATTTAAAAAGCACATAAACAAAATTTTTATTTGTATAAAATACTGCAAAAAAGTTATTCCCTTTTAAATTCATGATGAAAAATATTTCATTCAGAAAAATAAAGATAACTAAGCAGATGAATATCAAATAAAAAATGAATGGTACATTTAATAACTCTAAAATGTAATACAACAGGAAAGAAAAATAGCTACATGTTCTGGTACAAAATTTGAAATATTGGTCACAATGAAATTCCTTGCTATTCAATTTCAAACTTTACGAATATTTTTTCATCAGCATTCATTTTAATACTTTACAGTTTTCAGCCATTACTGTTGATGCTTTTGCATACCCTTGATTAAAGCATCATGTACCCCCAAGCGGTATGCATACCACATGTTAGGAATTACTGATTTACATACAAAAACTTTAGAATATACATATTTTTCAGAATTTTTTTCACAATGCCTATTTCATATCGCTGGTTGCAAAACCTAAGCCTGGAAAATCCCTGTGAAAAGAAGAAACTAAATTTTCTGCTATTAAAAAGAAAGAAAGAAAAATGGAAAAAGGCAAAATATTTAAGTCTCTCTGTTGAAAAATAAAACAAATCTGCCATTAAAAATTCATTTAACTAACAAGTTTTACTCTTTTTTTTTTCCTTGTTTGATTTCTAGTCTAAGATGCATATATTACATTTAAAATTTTTAAGATGATTTCCACTTCCTTGTTTGCTATGCATTTTGCTGCCGGATGCCATTATGCTACAAAGATGCTCTTATTTTATTAAATGTATTCATAAGCTGTAGAAGTTATGCTACAAAATAAGATGATAACGTACAAAAGTCTGTAATTCCTACATCATCACATATATGCACACATAATTCAAAACCATATCTGGCTATGATATAAATAAATAAACAATTAAAATAACTCACGTGATTCATTTAGTGGAATAATTCCTAATTTTATAACAGCTTATTTATTACTTAAAATAATTTATTTAAAAAAATTTTTCGAATTAAGAAACATATCATGTGGTTATTTTCGTAACGTCCTATGTTTAAACTATGTGGATTAACTGCATTTCACATGATGCTATTTCTTTTCTAGGAACACATTCTATGAAAGAGAAAAAATTAATAATTCTGTCACTGACCACGAATATTTTTATAAATAATAGTACAGACTATGGCTGTCAAACTCAATTTACAAATTATATATTTTTAATCAATTTGATTACATTCAATTTATTTGTACTCTAATTTAGCAGTAAAACAAAATCTGAAGAAAATAATTATTATGTTGCACACACTAAAGATAATATTCATATAGTAATTACACAAGTAGTCAGATTTATTACTTAAAATCACTTAACAGATTAGAAACTGAAATAAATCATTTACTGTTAACCATTTATTATGGCCCACATACTCTTAGTAAAAACTGAGATGGATAATTGCAGTTGCCTACCACAAATTTCAACATTTGAAAAAAGATTTCAATGGAACATGACATCTATGCATATACAGTTTTAAATATTTTATCTTTTTCTCTTCTTCTTACAAATCCCTCTGATCTGAATCAGATCAGATCCATAAGTTCATTCACCTTTATGACTTCCAACAACAAATTCTCTTCAGTAGGTCTTCACGCACCAAGGCAACACAACTTAGCAGATGTTGCACAACGGCTTCATGGTTTTTACACTTGGTACACGTCGAGAATGTTTTAGTATCATGAGAAAAACATAAGGATCCTTAAATGCTCTGAAGTCAAATGAGCCAGATCCATTTGGTCCTTCCTGTCACCCTTGAAACCAACAGCAGTACCAGAACCTGCACTATGATACCATGAATAAGTCAGCAGTTGTCTCCAAAAAAGTGTTAATTAAAGCCTTTCTTCTTCAGTATAAATCAAGATAGGTCAAAGGTTTAGTATAAACCTGAGGCATGGAAGTATGCTCCTTTGCTAGTCTACTATATTATTATATTTTAGATTTACATGAGATGGTATCTATTGTACATTAGACAGAAGATTTGGACAAGGTCTTGAATTTTTCAATAACTTTGATTCCTCTCGGGTCTCTAATACTTCTCTAGCTGTCTAGGTATTGGATAATACTATGGAGGTAAGGATAATACTGGTGTAAGGATCCAGATTTGCCTGGATAAATGTTGCTCTAAAACACAGTCCAAAGACATATCAATAGCAATCAATTCAGAGCTGAAAACAGAACAGAAATGGAGGAAATATCTTTCAAGTGTATAAATCCATATTTCTACACTTGAGAGATATTTCCTCCACGTCAAATTTAACAAATCAAGCGTGTCCATCTGCATTCTTACTGCCATCTGTATATATCAGAACTGCTTCAACAGGTACACAATGACTTTCAGAGCTCCTGGGAATACATTCTTATTCATATAATCCATTAATTATAATCCATCCTTAGCATCCTGATTGCTGTGCCAACTCTATTTAAGTAACCTCTTGGTTTCCTCTTGGTTGGACGACATGAGTGCAGGCCATGCTCAACCAATCGATCGGAATGTTCTGGTCCCCGGCAATCCGGGGTATCGTGCACAGGCTGCGAATGCAGAGAAGTGACTGCAGGCCCCACGCTTGTTGGGTTGTGCCAATCCATGCGTGCGAACTGCACTGGCTCACTGCACCCCTCCTTCTTCCACATTTCCTGGTCCAATTAGTTCGCCATAGCGATAACTGTCTGCTCCCTGTGGGATACCAGCTGCGATTGAGTAGACAAACCCGCCCTTCGTCCGAGCCAACCCCTTGTAAAATTGTCTATCTGCGGAAATGCCTCCTTGACGGCGGCGGCCATTCTCTCCTATACACGTCCCCGGGACAAAAAAACTTCTTTATAATCATTGGCAGAAATCGACAGGAATTCCATTTGCACGTTCCTCTCTTATATCTTACTTCACGTGCGCGGAGGGTGCGCATTTCAAATCATTCGCAACTTAATGACATGCGTGTACTCTAAAATTTGCAAATCTGACCACTCCTTCTTGGTGTTGCATTCAAGTTAGCAGTGTAATGAATCAAATGTTTCTCTGATCATATCAAAGCATTTCTCAACATGCTGTAATGTTTCTGTTTCATAATCAATTTCACCCCTTTCACAACATTAGCCAGTTTAACATCATAACATCTTTATTTTCACGATCATAGATACTGTCATGCTTGGCATACAATATGCAATAGCCAAATCCTGTGTGAAGATTGCAATAGCCAAGTCTTCACATTTTTTTTTATAATTTCTCTTTAAAAAAAAAAAAGCTCCATAGTGATCTTAATCACATTCTTTACTGCTTGACTCTTCGCATTACTTTCTTAAAATTAACTGTTACTGAATTTACAAAAAATTCTGGCAAAAAAGAGCAAAAATTCAGAGTTATTGTTCAATTTATTTGCTGAATAAAACATACTAATGCTCATGAGCAGCTGTACCACTATTTCAAAAGAGGTAAATAAAGATAGTGTGTGCAGTTATCACTCATTGAATTTGAGTCGTATTCCAAACAAAAATTCACTAAAGAGAATACATCAGTAAAATTTTCCAGTGACAGATCGCGGTACCATTGATTTATAATAGTATACAAAATTATAATGTCATAAATGTTTAAAATATATGCATCTTTGTTACATTATCTTATACATAGCTTTAAACTCGAGCATTACGAGTTTGTGCGAAATTTCAAAATCCTCAAAATGTCATGAATAAGTGGTATTTCTTCATTTTAATTAAAAAATGACTCTCTATTTTGTACCTTGATTCCTTTCTTCCATACATCCAAACCGAAATCAGATATATTAAAAACTAACAGAAATATTCATGTATAATGAATATAGAAGGCAGCCTTCTATGTGGAATTTTCTGGCCGTAACGCTGAGAGGGTTAAAGTCATAAAAAGCATAAATTACTATTTTAAGATGGAGAAAATGTTCTAGTTTTCCTGAATTTTTTTCTCTCTTTCTGTCAACTCAGGAAATTAATGCATTTCTTACATTTCATGCTATAACCAAAGAAAAGGAAGTGATAGAAAAATATACACAAGACTAAACTACCTTATCCTGACATGAGTTGCCAGAAAGCTTTGCTAAATACAAAATGAATCTGGACATATTGTCCAGATATTTTCCAAGTAAATTTGGTGGTCGTGTGCTTAATGCATGATATAATTAAAGAAAATAAGAGTAGACAATCTCCTATAACAAAAGAATATATTAAGTACTAAATTACAATTTAAATTACATTGCAGAGATCAACGCAGAGCTCGGAACACAGTTCGTGCTACCGTCGCGTACAGTTGTCTGACGAGAAGTCTGAGTGAGTAATGACGTCGCTTTGCTGCTGCGATTAAGAACTGGATTTTACACGTGGCGCCATCTCATGAATAGAAGTTGAAGTATCTGTCGGAACACCACATAAACATGAACAGAAGAATAATGCAAAGCAACCTACACTAAGAAAGATATATTCAGGTGGTATGCAATAGGGATCATCATGCTACCTATATATACCTTTTTGTTAGTATATAAAAGAAAAAAAGTCATTAACTATGTAGGTCTCGTACATATTGTGTTTGACAGC